AGTTGGATTCTTTTTCCTGCTTTATCTCTCGTCTCTTACGCCTTGCTGTGAGTTTTACTTCCTAACCTGTGATTGCCATGATTACTTCCCTGCGGTTCACAATTCCCAATTAGCCCTCAGTGTGTGTACATACGGTTCCATCGTTCTCCTAGTCTTTTCCCCAGACTGCTCTCTGTCATCCTGCTTTCCTGCAAGCTTTTGTATTTCTGCTTTGTGCTTCTTGTGGACTTTGTTTTTGGACTTTGGCATTCAGTGTAAAACAAACAAAACAAAACAAAAAGTCTGCTTTTTTTGCTTTTATCCCTAATTTGGGTTCTTAATTCTGAATACTGAAGGCATTAACAACAAAAAGATCAGAAAATAAAAGCAAAAAATAAATAAATCAAAGTTAAAAACAAAACAAAACATGGGGGCATTATTGTCGAAGTAGTAATTGATTTAAAATACTGAGTTTTGTTTTTAGATTAACTCCCATCAGGACTCAAAAAACAGAATACACTGACAATCTGTCACAGTCTGGCTGGCAGACCGTGGGGATGTGGGGAAAAGGAGGACCCAGGCGCGGTACTCTGTGTATGAACAGTGCGTTTATTTACAGTGATGGAAAGTAACAATAAACCCCAGTGTATTCCCCAGACTCCCGTGTCGTGTCTCCCTCGTGCTCTCTGCTCCCGTGTCAGCACCCCCCGGTGCTCGCTGCTCTCCCAAGCCTTCCACGCTCCACCTGTGGGAAACAATAGCGGCAGCTGTCAGGACACTTAGGAATGGCAGGCATACACTTTAAGACAAAACCTAGACGGGGTGACTAACGTGGAGTCTCATGCAATGATCCCGCGTCAGTGGGAGCTCCAAGACTCTCCTAAGTAGCTCCCCCGACGAGCCCTGATCAGCGGCAGGTGTGTGGCTTCGGGTGTGGCCAGTCCCTCCGCAGGGCCACACCCCTCAGGCCTGCAGGTGGCCGAGCTCCATCCTCCAGGCACACCCGCAGACATACACACCCATACCTCGCCTAAACATATGAGTGGGACACAGACTAACACAGCACAGAGAAACACACATATGTACACGCACAGAGAAGGGGAAACGACACCAAAAATACATAATAATACACAGGTCCATGACTGCCCAGGGATCCTGGGTCGCCCAGTCCCAGGACCCTGACACAAACAAAAGCCACATTTGCTGTTAATTGAAAATGCACGCTGTGGGTAACTAGTCCAGTGATATCAGTCAAAAGGAGCACCAAGTATAGTTCAGTAGTAGCTAACGAGTACATGATCAGCACCAAGGAGAGCGCTACGTCTCAGTCATATCTGCTCCAGATTCTAAGTAGACGAAGAACTCTGCTGTCAGTTTGTTCATAGCAACAAGGCCAATGACAAAGTCAGCACGGAGATACCTCACGTTTGATTTTGATTTTATTTATTTTTTCATTTATTTATTTATTTTGACATTAGATGTCTTCCTGAAGTCCCCAAAGGGATTTGAGTCTCCTCCTGGGAGAGGAACTGGAGATCTTTTTGCTTGTTTATGTGTAAAGCATTATGGAGCCACTTTCCTCTAGATTAGTAAGAAGTAAGAAACAAATGATGTCTATGACTAAACAGTGGACTAAGAAAAAATACTAATTTAAATTACAAATTAAAGCTTCAACATGAGCTATGACCTTTGGTAGTTTATGCTGATCAGGTCACACATTCACTGTTAGATGTCAAATTTTTCATCTTATCTTGAGTCCATGTGAAGGCTTGGTCAGTATCAGTCAGGGATTACAATGTTTGCCTACATGTGAGTCGCCCTTATTTAGGCAATTTTTTATATTTATATTTTTTATAACTTCAATGTGACTGGAATTAAACACATTGAACCTTCTAAAGGATTTTGTTTTTAACAGAAAGAAGTCTGTGTTTCATTTGTGCTGCAATAATAACAGATAAAGATGGGAGAAAGGCAAGTTATTGGGAGCAGCGAACAGTGTTTGCTTTCCAAAAAGCAGCCATTAGGGGTAGATAGAGCTCACCATCATTAGAGAAAGGCTGCTTTGTAGACAACATAAGAGGAGACAGTGTTTTGGATAGAGCCAAGTAATGGATGTCTGAAGTGATTTCTCAGAAATGCCATTGTGCACTCAGCTTGGAAACCAGAGAGGCCAGTGTGGCTGTGTTCAGCTACCTAGCTTGTCACCTGTCAGCCCTTCTGGGAAATGAGTTTCTGCCTTTTCAGCTCAACTGTTTCTTCACACTGCTCAATGTATTCAGTTTATCTTCAGCATATGGAGAAAAATATCCAAATAATATTCTGATGAATAATAATCATCAGAATAACAGCCAAACTGACCATCACCATCACGATAATGAAAATCCTGGTTTTAGTCTCCGTGTTATCTCGTTCATACCACAAACGCAAAATCCCTTCATAACCTATGACTGTAGCTGAGTCTTTTTTTCCTTTAATCTTTGATCAATGAATGCTAAACTTTGAATCATAATATTTGAAATATCATATACACAACATCTGTCAGCCTGAGCTGTCTATATGAATTTTCCTGCTTTTATGCGTGCAGTTTAAAAATAGTAACACAGTGCTGGATATTTTGTGGTCACCGTTAAGTATGATAGTGTTCAATACAGTTAACTGCTTTGTGCAGAGTCTAATCAGCCATGGTCGTCTAAAATAACCGGCGATTCAGCCAGAAATCAATCAGGCAATAAAAAACTGTACTGTTGTAGGAGAGAGGAGCCACAATATTTCAAGAATTTAGACTTCTTCGGGACATTTTGAAAGGATCGATAGAGTAAAGATAGTGTGTATGTTGTACTACACTCTGTTATTCACAGTCAAATTATTATTGTATTAAAAGGTGTGCATTCGATAACATAGCTGCCAGACAAAACTCCAAAACGTTTTCACACACAAAATATGCTTAGCTTTGTGCTTAGATGTGATATTAAACAGAGAATGGACTTTTGCATGACAGGAGATGGGAAAAATACTGGAAAGAAAATTGATTTAAAATTGTTGTAATTGTGCTCATTACACAGACCAGCATCTGTCAGCCTTGTGACCAGAAAATCATGTATGCACACGCACAGCCTCAGCTGATGAGCTCATCCTTTTTTCTTTTTCTTTTTTTTTTAATTGACTGGGCTCTCAGGTCCATTTGCCTTTTTTGTAGCGGTCGTCCCAGTGGTCACTTGGGTTGATTTTTAAAGCTTACATGGGCTAGAGGAGAAATAAAGGAAGGCTGGTGGAAATTCAGATTAGAAATGGAACCTTGAAGATTAATGGAAATCAAATGCACTGATTGAGACTGCACTAAGACAAGTGTTCAGCCCACTGCAAGTGGAGTCTCCTATTCAACTGCATTTAAATGAGTCCATTAACAATCACTCCATTACCGATGAATACTTTTGCCTTTCATAATGAATGGTTTGGAATTTACTGCCTTGAACTCTTTTGAACGAACATAAGTGAAGAGGCTGCATGAATAAATAGTGCCCCCTACTGGTTCAATAAAGGTCTTCACCTCCCAAAACTGCAGGGAAGGATTTTCAAATTATTATCATTATTATTGTTGTTGTTGTTGTTGTTGTTGTCATATACAAACTATTGAACAGATTCAAATCATCAATGCCATGTATAAATTATTTACATAATGGAATCACCAAGGGAGGACTCCCATAACAATAACACACATACTAAATAAACTAGATAGAAACAAACTGAAAATGTAATGCCTTAGTGCTAGAAAATATCCCGTATTTTATGATGGATTATGGTGGTATAATTCTTGGACAGTGGGCTGCAAAAGAATTCATTCACTAACATGCACCTGTTCATTTGTTCTATATTTCTTTATAAGCTGACTTAGGCTTGCTTAGGCTGCTACACCTGCAAGCATGCCCCATGTAAGCGGAAAAAAATAGATGGATAGATGAACATTTGTTCATTCAATTATTGGTTCTGTCACTTGGTTTACAGTCTCTTAAAGCACTTTGCTAGACCCACAATTTCTTTAATTGAAATTTATCATATCTTGTTACTTAAAAAATTGAGGAAACTACATAAGTGGAGGACAAAAGAAGCGATGGGCCTAAAAAAAAAGCAGTGTATCTGAAAGTCATGTCCTAGAAATAGGAACAAAAATCCAGCAAAGACCTGATGCAGAACCTCAGCGATACATCTGGCCCTCCAGTTGTTGCAGCTACTGTTCACTGAAGTCTCCTCAGAAGTGGAAGCGTGACTGAGGTGTGCCAGATTACACAAGAAATGGATTGAAAATCAGTGGCAGGGAGTCTTAAGGAGTGATGAATGCCAATGTGAGAGTTTTGGTTCAAATGATCATCGATATGTACGGAGGAGATCAGGAGAGACACTGAGCATCTACAGCTATCTGTAAAACACAGTATTCCTGAAGGCAACTTAAAGACATTACAAGAAAGCTTGCCAATGATTCAGGCTGTGTTAAAGAATAAAGGCACTCATACCAAATACTGACTTTCAAGTCAGTATTTGGTATGAGTCTAACTCTGTTTTTGCCTTATATATTATATATCCATGTATGTTTAGACCTTTTAATAAATCCCTGAACCTATTTCCTTTTTTTCTAGCAAAATATAAAGAAATAAACGTTGGCTCAAGTCTGAAGTGAAATTGTGTAATAGTGTGAAGTCATTTCAAATAGAAACAAGGAGGGTGTGAAGAAACTAACACATGGTTATTTTTCATATTGTTATTCTATACCACTCCCTTTTTATGGATGTCTTTACAGCCAGCACCACCAAGGGCCCAATTTATGAGTCTGAGAGAAAACTTTCCAAGGAAACTGTATTTTACCTATATTACTGGGGTAATACACTAGTTTCTTCGTCATTACTGCTGACTAAGAAATTGAAAGTGTATCAGTGTATTTCAGTGCATGTATTCACTGAAATACAGTTAGGGAGTTTGCATCATGTCACAAGCACACATACACAAAATGAGCAGGATGCCGACTAGGATGTATTAACAATATTTATTCACTACAAGCTCCAGTGTTATTTTTCCTATTTCATTTCAACCCAACAGTCAGAATGAGATGTGTTTCTTTTTCTTTACATATTTACAGATTGGTTTCACTATTGGCAATATATCACATTTATCTATATACACAACCCATTTACCACCTTGTTGACACTAAGCACTTTGAATGGTCACTAAGACCAGAAAAGCGCCATATAAATGCAGTCTATTTATCGTTCTTGCCAGCCATCAGCAGAAGATGTTTGTTAAATATGGGTTAAAACCTCAGTAGATTTCTACTGATTGTGTTCTCTTTCCGCCTTATCTCTTGAAAACAAATAAACTCCATTTAGTTTTACTTTTGGAACTTTCCATTCTCTTTAGGAATAAAGCTAAAGGCCTTAGAATAAGAGTTCAGTAATGCTTTCAGAAAGTGTTCAGGGCAGGGACACTGGAAGAGATTGTGAGTGAAATATTCACAAAGACTTTATTATGAAAACACTGACAGACAAAAAGGAGGGGATGCGATCACTGATCTTTGACCATCTGCCCTCGTTTAGCCTTTCTCTATTTAAAATCAGTGTGTTCAAGTGCCGTAGCTCTCCAGCACTGTAGACAAAGGAAAACAAAGAAAGAAATGGGTCCATGTAGTCAGACCATACATGAGCAAGTCATTTTATGATACTGGAGTAACTGATTAATGTAAACTGAATACTGAATAAATGAAGAATATGGAGATCCAAAGTACCAGCCGTTATAATGTCAGAAAAGCAATTCTGGGTTATGGTGAAGCACACGTAACTGTCAGGACATTAACATCATAACATATTAGGCCTGTATAACTTGATATTTATTGCTCCCATTATCAAAATATTTGGTGGGATTCGTCTGAAAGTGAGTACTGAAAATCAGTATTTCATTTAAAAATGTTCAAATATTGACTTTAAGTTACCTTTTGAAAAGTGCAAGTATTTCTGAACTGATTACTCATCAAATGTGGTACAAGCGTACTTCCAAGTTATAGCTATGGATAAATACAATTTGGTTTTGGAAAGAGGTGAAATGAAAGAGTAGGAGAAAAAAAAAGGTTAACAGTGAGACACCTTCAGTTCTCACTATAATGATTTTAATGGAAGAACATGACAGCCAATCAAAAATACAAGAAGAAGAAGAAGAAGAAGAATGCTTGATTTTAAACTTTCAAAACATCTACTGAAAGTTTTTAAAAACTTCTGAGCCCGTACATGGACTGATGAGAAAATTTGAACTTTTGTCAAAAACAGACAAAGTATGTTTTGAAAGGCACTGCACAAAAACAACGAAACCTCATCGCAGCTGGAAAGCATGTTGGAGGAAGTGTCGTGGTTGGATGGAGGCTTTTTCAGCTACAGACAACTTTTTTTCTTACTTCTATCAAAGACTTGAAGAGCACATCTGTTTACTTGTCATCGGTTTGGTCAGATAGTGTGTATCTAATGAATAAGAAAAAAAATCATTTTTTAGTAATCAGTGCAGAAATCCTGTTATTTCCAAAAAGAGTACGTAGGCAAATTGTACGAAGAGTTAAAGTAAATAAACATCAACCCCTGATTAAATGAGTAAAGTCGTCTATATAAAACATTTTTTTGTGACACAAGTGACACAATTGCATTTGTTACAGAACACTTGCTCTCTAAGTGTTTTGTCTAGTAAGACAAAATGCTAAACAGCACATTTTAACTTTTCCAACAAACACACACACATTTTCCAATACTGCATTTACCTTGAAAAGCGGCTGTGTCCAATATTGCATCGTTGCTAGAAGGATTTATAAGAAACGGTGCCTTCAGGCACAAAAAGAAATGAACATGGCTAAATTTGGAAAGGTGGGACATGTTGAAATTTGGTTGGAATACAAATATGGTGGGTCAGAAATACAGTACCTTATACAACACACATATCATAAGCTGTAATGAAACACATAGCCATCCGTGTTAAAACACTGCATTTACCCCACATCTCCTAACGAAACCCTTCACTGAAACCAGTAGCACAGTCTATGAAAACTAGCTTGTTACCAGTGTAGCAGAAAAAAACCTGTTTTCAAATTAAGACATGTGAGCTGTAAAATATGTGTTAGATGTGTATTTTCTTTGATTTACAATCTAGCCTACTTTTGCAATATGTACATTAAAAAAAATATTTAGACAGAGAAAAAAAATCAGCTTTAAATATATATTTATCTCTGTGTTTTTAAAAAATCATTTATGAAATAAGCGGTCAGCTTATTTCATGTCAAAGCAGCAGTGATGTGTCATGAACCAGGCTAGGACAACAGCAAGAATAAAGACAGCAAACAATAAGGTCCATCTCCATCCGGTGGACAGTAGCTTTCTGTTGGGAAAGTGGCACCAATTTTTTCTCTGGTGCCGTCTTCAAATATTACCACTGTTCTGTGTGTGTGATAAACTTTAGATGTTATGGGAAAAGCAAAATGTTAGTAAAACTATTATTAAAACTTTTCATTCAGTGACTTAATGTATGTTTTGCCTTGTATTGCACCCAGTAACACCCACTCGCCTTTACGAGCTTCTAAGGCCATTTGAAACCCCATCATTTCATTCACACCTTCATCTTTGGGGTACTGCCAACAGACTTTAAGCATTCACGTTTTCATGTATAATCCTCATCATCTCTATCATTTCCCTCAACCAAAATTACAACAAAAATGAAAAACGAACAAACAAATGGGAAAAAAAAGCAAACTTGTTATGTTCTGAATCAGGGATCACATGCATTTATTTAAGAATCCAAGCTTGCTTTTGTCTGACCATGCAGTATGGACACACTGCGATGTGCGTTGCTTTAAAAAACAAACAAACAAAAGAAATCAATCATCACAATGATCCAGCCCTGAAAAACACCTGGGAATCCAGGTTCTGTAGGATGTTTCACGCCAGCTTTGGGAATTCATCCAGATGGTTTTAAAAATAGTTGCCACTGAACCCACCAATGAAATCCATCCAGTTAAGGGGATGATCAGATACCACGTAGTGCTTCTCTAGAAAAAACAAACAAAAGAAAAAAAACACCGGTCCATCAAGGAATTGGCATCAAATGAACTCTGCACTGTAAAATCCCAGTTTGTTTGGAGATAAAAAGGTCGAGACATACAGAAAGACACAGCTGTAAAGGGCAGCGGGCTGCTTCAGCCCATATTTAGTCTGCTTCTCATCGGCGGATTTCAAACATTGCAACCGAACACTCATTCAGTCTCGTTTTGAAAGCTAACAGTTCCTCAAACTCAATTTCAAACAAGTGAGCCCGCTCTGCTCTGGGCAGGCACCATGACTGGCACCGCCCCCATCCGCTCCAGAGTGGCCTGGCTCACGGCGTAGGAGTGTGTGTGTTGCCCGTGTGCGGACGTCACCACCGGTTTGAGGCTCACGGTGCCGTTGCTGCGCACCATGTTGGGAGGGGAGGGGGCAGAGTTTGTGGTGACCACCAGAGTCTTTGGTGGCGGGAGGGTGTGGCTGCCGTTGGCAAACGACGTCGTTGCTGTCGTGGGCGGGGGGTGGCGGGAGAGCGGGGTTGAGCCTGGAGCTGTCACTGCTGCGCCGTGGCCTTGTGCTGCGTTCTGGCCTGGGCCGTGTCCATGCGTGCCGTGAGCAGCGGCAGAGTAGGTCTGGCGAGCGTCTCCATTGTAGCGCGTGTAGGAGTTGGTGTCATAGTTGGGTTTGGGGTTGTGCCAGTAACGACTGTTGTACGTGTTGGTAGACGTGAGCGTGTCGTTCTCTGAGGAGGACGCGTCGGCATGGAAAGCCTTTACTGATGATGACCTCTTAGGAGGAAGGTCATCCTCTCTGTTGAGGAGACATTTGAAAGAGAGCACAGTTAGACATGCACAGCTTTACACGCAGATTACAATAACTGCCTGTACCAACGTTTATGGTTTGCATGGGGAAAAACATTAGAAAACTGTTTTTCATTAAACGCAATTTTATGATATTTATTTTGTTAATCCTGTGCATTTATAGCAAAGCAAAAGATCACAGATAAAAGATGTCAGTAATACAAGAAGTGAAGGCCAGTTAGTTCAGCTTCATATATTTAGCACAAATTTCCATAAAAGATTAATTCAGCTTCACAGTGCAGCAAAAGTTCTACTGAGAATCTACAAGGTGCTTATGTATTCATGTGTGCACTCTGATCTTCGTGGAGCCTATTAAATATAATGTGATAATCATTGCGAAGCCGTGTGCGAGTAAAGCAACAAAAAAATGTCAAAACTATGATCAAATAATTTTATATGTATTCAAAAGTATTTCAAATGAAGTCGACAAAAACTTCCTGCCTTTCTGTTTTTCTATTTTCATGAGCTCCTGAGGCATATGAGATGAAGTGTATTCTTTGTGATTTTCTGTTGAGGAAAAGCAGAAGTGTAAGGGTGGACTGACAGTTTTATTGCTATCTCAGTTACTCAGAGCTACAGATATCTGAAAGTAAACTAATTTATCCTCCAAATAAGTCCTGGAGTAATTTAGTGGCAAATTTACAGCTAAGGTAAACAACTGACAGAGGATTTAAAAGACAAAATAGCCTGTAATTAGGAAGAACATTTAAGCCTATTACTGGTGTAGTTTTCAGAGCTTTCAGTGCTGACACGCTTAATATTCTACAACAGGAAGCACAAAGCCAACGCTGCATGTTTTTGATTTTTAAAATACATCAGACAGGCCATAAATGTCACCCTGCAACCTTCTGAAACACTAAGTATGTGATTAGCTCAGTAAACAAACCCTGCTTTACTTCAACAGAAACTCTATATTAAGTATAAACAATGTCGTGGAAAGACTGACTAAAGAGCTGCTTAATTCTGAGAAACAAACAAAACGCTTTGATGACAAAATACAAAAACTGCACAAAATGGAGAAAAGCTGGACTGTTAAATAGCTTTTCACCTGATAGTAACAGACAGTATGGATACTGGATACTACTGGTACTTTATTTATAAGTAGTATTTCTATGTTATGCTACTTTCTACTTCTACTCCACTTTATTTTTGGAACCAGACATCCCAACACAATTTATTTGAAATCTTTAGTTGCTTATTTGGCAGTAAAATTACATATAGCAACAAATAATGTTTAAATAAAATAACACATACAATTATGAAAAGTTCTATATAATATATTTTTATATAGGAAGTTGAAATATTTTTCTGATTCCCCACCCCCTTGGCTCTTGGTTCCCTCTGTGGCCCTTCATTAAAAAAAATCCTGGAAACGCCCCTGCATCCTAATAGCCTTAACACCTTATAAGGTAAACGCATTCTTTACGGCTCCTACACATCAGTCACTGGACAAATAAAAGCTTATCTTTAAATATAAATGTATTCAGTCTGAATAAATACATAAACTACACCCATTAGCCACTTGATCAAGCATAGTGCAATCTACTACCTTCCAACAGTCTGCCGTAAAGCCTTGCTTTTGTTGACTGATTCCATTGTGTGTTGTGATGGTGGTCTACTGAACTGCATTTCATTGAAATATCTTCCAAATATTTTTTTCATTCCATAAGCACACAGTGCATTTAGGGGGCAAATCATCAAATGTATGTTGTCTAGTACAAGCACTCAGCACAGCGTGGCCTCAATAATAAAGCAGAATTATCACCTTTTTGACACAGTCAGCAAAAGCTGAAAATGTGCTCTCCATAAAAGTTCAGCATGCCAGTGCCGCTGCGTTACAGGTTACAGAAATACTGAGTAAACGTGGTGAGCGTACAAGCTTGCAGATGCACTTTCACACCAGCTACATAGTAATGAAAAAGAAAAAAAGAACAATGGAAAAACAGCAATCAAAGCCAAACCTGATCTCATTGGGAATCTCCTCCTCATCATATTTGTTCTTGTTCTTCCAATAGAAGAGTGTGACCACCACTAACAGGGAACAGATGACGACTGCCAGGACTCCTGTGGCAATGGTTCCTGCTATTAGACCTACACTCTGAGGCTGGGCTGCAGGACAGACAGACAAGAGGATGACATTTGAAAATGACCAGAGAGCTGGATGAGTTGGCCAAAACTACACTTAAAAAAATTATCTAGTAAACAGATTTCATTTCATTACACACAGAGAAGAGAATCAAAAAATGTATTTGGAAGTTTTCAGTCTTTTGAATATGTGGCTTTACAGCTGAAGGCCCCATCCAAAGTTGTGTTTCTTAATGTTTACAGGCCTCCCAAATACTGCACAGACTTTTTTAATGACCTCAGTGAACTGCTGTCTGTGATCTGTGTTGATTTTGACTGTGTAATTATTGCTGGGGATTTTAACATTCATGTGGACAACCCTCAGGACAAAGGGACTAAAGACCTGAGTAACACTCTGGGCAACTTTGGGCTGACTCAGCATGTAACAGAGGCCACACATAATAGAGGACACACTCTTGACCTACTGATCTCCAAAGGCCTGAGCATTTCAAAGGTTACTGTGTCTGATGTGGGCCTGTCTGATCATTACTGTGTTTTCTTTGAAAGTAAAATCTCAGCCCACACAAATATATCAACAACAGTGATCACAAAACGGTGTATAACTGAACACAGTAGTGCAATTTTTAACCAGGTCTTCCCATTAACACCTGACCTGCCCAGAGGGTCAGTCAATGAGCTCATCAATAGCTTCAATGCTAACATGTTAAATGTAATGGACACTATTGCTCCCATTAAGGTGAAGGTTATCTCTGGAAGGAAAAAGTCTCCATGGAGAAACTCCACACTGGTGAAAAATGAAAAAAGAGAGTGTAGGAAAGCTGAGCGCAGATGGAGAAAAACAAACCTCCAGGTTCATTATGACATTTATAAAGAGAAACTTCACAATTATAATTTACAACTGAGGAATGCAAGGAGGTCCTACTTCTCTGACATCATCACTAAAAACAGCCATAATGCTCGGGTCTTATTTTCTACAGTTGACAGGCTAACAAACCCTCCTGTGTCAGTGGCAGCTGAACTTCATTCGACCATGGCCTGCAATGACTTTGCCAAATTCTTCACTGAAAAAATCCAAAAAATTAGACAAGCAATTGGTACATCAACAGCAGATCCAGGATATGTACTGTGTCCACCAAAAAACTGTTTAAACACCATGAAACAGTTTCAACCTATTAACAGCAAAGACCTGGAGGACATCTTAGGTCAACTGAACTCCTCCTCCTGCTGTTTAGATGTCCTGCCAACAAGTTTTTTCAAAAAGGTCTCAAAGACTTTAGAGTCAGACCTGTTACAGATCGTCAACTTTTCTTTATTATCAGGTGTGTTTCCAGAATCACTAAAAACTGCTGTAATCAAACCTATACTGAAAAAGGACAATCTTGACAAGACACAAATGAACAACTACAGGCCGATCTCAAATCTCCCGTTTTTAAGTAAGATCATTGAAAAAGCAGTTTCTCAACAGCTCAGTTACTTCTTAAAACAGAATAATTGCTACGATGCCTTCCAGTCAGGTTTTAGACAGAACCACAGCACTGAAACCGCTCTGACCAAAGTGTTTAATGACATATGTCTGAATACAGACAGTGGAAAAATGTCAGTCCTAGTTTTACTGGATCTCAGTGCAGCATTTGATACAGTTGACCACAACATATTACTCAAACGACTGGAGAACTGGACAGGTCTTTCAGGAACTGTACTAAACTGGTTCAAAACATACGTAGAAAACAGGAAATACTTTGTATCAATAGGTAACTTCACATCTGAGCAGACAAGTATCACATGTGGAGTTCCCCAAGGTTCCATCTTGGGACCCCTTCTGTTTAACATCTACATGCTCCCACTGGCACAGATTATAAACAACAACAAAATAAACTATCACAGCTATGCAGATGACACACAAATATATATCACAATGTCACCAGGAGACCGAGGCTCTGTACAGGCTCTTGGTAAATGCATTGAGGAAATTAATGACTGGTTGTGCCACAATTTTCTCCAGCTAAACAAAAACAAAACTGAGGTAATAGTCTTTGGCGCCAAAGAAAAACGATTACAGGTCACCAGAGAACTTCAATCTATACATCTAAAAACCACAAACCAGGCGAGAAATTTGGGTGTAGTGATGGATGCAGACCTAAACTTAGAAAAACACATTAAGACAATAACAAAGTCAGCTTACTATCACCTCAAGAATATATCAAGGATAAAAGATCTGATGTCTCAACAGGACCTGGAAAAACTAGTCCATGCATTCATCTTTAGTAGGCTTGATTACTGTAACAGCATCTTTACAGGTCTACCTAAAAAATCAGTCAGACAACTACAGCTCATTCAGAACTCTGCTGCTCGAGTCCTCACTAAGACCAAAAAAGTGGACCACATCAGTCCAGCTCTGAGGTCCTTACACTGGCTGCCTGTCCGTCAGAGGATAGACTTTAAAGTTCTGATGCTGGCCTATAAAGCTCTGAATGGTTTAGGACCAAAATACATCAATGACCTCCTGACCCAGTATGAACCATCCAGATCCCTCAGGTCATCTGGATCCGGTCTTTTATCAGTTCCCAGAGTCAGAACCAGACACGGAGAAGCTGCATTCAGCTTTTATGCTCCTTATATCTGGAACAAACTCCCAGAAAGCCTCAGATCAGCTGAAACACTCAGTTTATTTAAATCCAGGTTGAAGACTCACCTGTTCTCAGCTGCATTTGAATAAAGCACCAAATCCACACTTTAAGCTTAAATTTCAAAACTTACATTTAACTACTGATTTTATCTACTGTTCTGATTTTATCTGTTTTGATTTTATATACTGTTGTTTGTTTGTTTGTTAATTAGTTAGTTTATTTGCTTGTTTTAATCAATTTTAAATCATGCTTTTTATTTGTTCTTGTTTCTAATGTCTCTGTAAAGCACTTTGAATCACCTTGTTGTTGAATTGTGCTATACAAATAAACTTGCCTTGCCTTGCCTTGCCTTGCCTTAATATAGCTCCTAAAATACATCACTAGATCTGTATGTCAGGTATTTCAGAATAATATAAGGTGTCACTACAATAAGACACAAAATAAGGTGTGGTCCACACTTGATAATAACAGGTCAAGTCAAGTCAAGTCAAGTTTATTTATAGAGCACATTTAAAAACAACCAAGGCTGACCAAAGTGCTGTACAGTAAATACAGATAAAAATACAATAGAACACAATTTCGTAATAACACCTCGCTGATAAAAATAAAATAAAAATATATAAAACAAATAAATTAAACCTTTCTAAAAGCCAATGAAAAGAGGTGAGTTTTAAGAGCGGTTTTAAAAGTTTCTAGGCTTTTGGAGAGTCTGACGTGAGGAGGTAAACTGTTCCACAGTCTGGGTGCAGCCACAGCAAACGCCCTCTCTCCCTTTGTCTTTAATTTATACCTGGGAACATCTAAAAGCATCAGGTCGGCTGACCTCAAAGATCTCCTGGGGCGATAACAGACTGAGCACACAGTGCAGCTTTTATAGGCTGAAAGCCACATAAGAAACTAGAACAGCTGATTATCCTCCGACATCAGGCAATTGCCCACCGAGGCTGGCAGCTTCCAAATCGTCCAATAAATAAATAAATAAATAAAATATAAAAAAAAACCAACCCATTTTTGAATATTGAAAACTTTGTCTTGCTTTAATGAAAGAGCCCCAGATGTACTAAACTGACCTTTTCTGTGCCAAATAACAATTTTCAGCGCCCAGCTGACACAACTTTACACAACAGATGTACTTGCCAAAATAAATAAATAAACAACATTCTTTCAAGTCTAACGTCTGACTAACTTTGTCAAAAAGAGTTTGGGACAATCCTTGTTAAACATATACATCATGCCTTTTATTTAATATATGGCTTTGTAAAAAGCAATCTCTTTGTCATAATTAATGGATTCAAATTGTTTTTAATAAAAAAATAAAATAAAATCTCATTCACGAGCCTTTACGTCTGTATTGTGTCAGCAAATCACAAGTCTGGCATGTCTGGCAGACTCAGCACTCTGATACAGAGCCCCGGCCTGTCACACACTGTCAGATGACCAAAAGAAAACAACATGTTACAGCCCTTTCTGTCAAGCTATCAAAACTGCCCGACCCTGTCACTTTTATCACCTCTGTTTTTTTCCTGGTGTCAGATGTCAAGTGCTGCCGTGTGCAAGCGGCTCTGACTGTGCCCTTTGTTTGGCTGGATTTTGTCACATTTGTTTGTTTGCTTATGTCTGTGTTTGACGGCTGTCAGTCACCGAGAAGACTTCTGCACTGCCACTAGCAGCCTTTCCATCTTAAACAAACAGACACGTGTCACCTTACCCGTGCCTGTGATGTTTGAGTATACTTACGTGCAACAACCTGCAGGTTCAGCAGACAAGTGCTCTTTCCGATAGCGTTGCTGGATGTGCACTGGTAGAGTCCTGAGGTGGTGGTGCTGATGTTTCTCAGTGTGACAGTGCCCTGCATCTGGTCTAAAGGACACAAACGCACGCACATACAGAGAGCCACATAGTAATTAAAGTTTCTAAAACACAACCATATGGACCCTGTGTTGTAACTCGCACATTTAAATAATTCAAACACACTTACATTGATTTATACTTTTAAAAACTTCCGCTGAACAAGTTATACTAAGTACCAATAGAGGGTGCTATTGTCTTCTTAATCCCAGTTGTGCAAATATGTTCAGTTCAGTAGAACAATAAAACTGAAGATTCCTTTTTCATAAATGATGAAAGGGTTGAGCTGTACACTACTGGATTCATTTAAATTGCATAAGCTTTTATTCATTTATTTATTTGTTCTTATCTTGCATATTTCCGCTGTAGAGGAAGTCAGCCAGATCTTTAACTGTTCTCTTAGCAATGACATGACAGATGTCATAGCTGTGTGCGTCAAACTAAACACACAGAGGATTAGGAGTGGCACTGGATTCCAGGATCCCTTTACAGTTTGAATGAAATGCAAGCAGAAGAAAACAAACGTGAATATTTAAAGATACATTTGTTATGTTTGTTTGCTGTTTTTTTATGTAAGCGGACATGTCAATTGTAGTCATCAAAAGGTAAAAACTTAATATATTATACATTAATGCAAAATTTATTTTAGAGGCTGTTAAATTATTTATACTGTAAATAATACCTGCAGCTATAAGTATAACCTCAGTAGTGAGTCATATTTTGGGCTACATGTTGCAAAACAAGCTAACAAGTGTGGTTTTTTCACTAATGAAGTGGATTTATTTTATGGCTGCTAGTCTGTTCCATAAATGCATGGACTAAAAACTACTTATTAATTCTAGGCTTGACTACTGCAATTCATTATTATCAGGTTTTCCTAAAAACTTATTAAGTATCCTAAAAAGTATTCAGCTGATCTAAAATGCTGCAGGACAAGATTCACAGGGACTAGAAAGAGAGAGAGTATTATTTCATTGTTTCCCTGTGAAACCCAGAATCAAACTTGAATGATCAGGCACCATCTTATCTTAAAGAGCTCATAGTACTGTATGACCCCATTAGAGCACTTAGACTGCTGGCTTACTTGTGGTTCCTTGAGTATTTAAAAGTAGAATGCGAGGCAGAGCCTTCAGCTTTCAGGCCCCTCTTCTGTGGAACCAGCTCCCAGTTTGGATTCAGGAGAGAGACACCCTCTCCTGAATCCTAACTGGGATCCAGCCTAGGCCTAGGTCACCTGATCAAGCCCTAACTATATAGTTGGGGCTCGATCAGGTGACCTAGGCCTAGGCTGCTGGGGACGTCCCATGCATGCATTCTGCATTTAAGCATGACTTATTATTCATTGTTGGCTCTCTTCCACAGTGTGGCTTTTGGCTTCCCCTCCCCTAGCTGGTTGCAGCACATGGCCGCCCCTCCCTGAGCCTGGTTCTGCTGGAGGTTTCCTTCTGTTAAAAGGCAGTTTTTCCTTCCCACTGTCACGAAGTGCTTACTCATAGGGGCTCATTTGACTGTGGGGTTTTCTCTGTATTATTTTAGCTTCTTTACTTTACAATATAAAACACCTTGGAGCAACTGTTGTGATTTGGTTCTATATAAATAAAACTGAACTGAACTGAAATGAACAGTGTTCACCAATACACATTAAAAATACTCGTGCACACAGATGAAACTTTACAGTCTAACTGAAATATTGAAAAAGAAAAAGAAAACAACAACAACAACAAAATCTAGATTATTTAAAAAAAACAATTTTTGTGACAGGTTGTTTTTGTGTCTTTGTTGTTTGTTTGTTCATTTGTGCTAACGCCACTCCATTTTGTGGTGAGTCAGATTCTTTGAAGCGCTTTTCGATGTTATCATTTCAAAGGCCTGATTGCCAAAATTGCAAATTAGCATATCACAAAAGAAGATAATTGACATTTATTCAACCACCTTTGCAGCCTAATTTGCAATTATGATTTACTGAGTACACATTTCCTATTCTCCCTCTGCAAGTGCTCAGATAATTGGACTCATACCTGTTAACAGAAGACTGTTTCACTTTTATGATAATATGCTGTCTGCAATTGATGTGACTTTTGCACAGTGGGCTTTCTACTGACCAGTAGTGTACAGACAAAGAAAGATACCAGTGATGAATATTATTTCACTGTGCAGTGGGCACAGCTGGAAAAGAAAGGAGAGTGCACCACACCAGTCCTCTCTGATGCTGAAAACCAAATGCAACTCCAGTTTCTGTAAATATTAAACGCTGGATGGCAGAAGAAAGTTATTGTATGTATTGCGGTCGCAGCAATGACACAACTGCAGATCTCACAATGGCACGTGTGGGCAGAGTTGGTATTCAGCATGAGGAAGGAGCACCACAAAGCAATATCACTTTGCTCACTTACAGAAACACATTGCTGACACACACACAAGCTCATTCACAAATTCACAGGTTCGAGTCACTACATCCATCCATCATCACCCTCAGCAGGGTCAGCGGAGGAGGATAGTCAGGAAGGGGGCAGTAGTTCAGGCCTGGCACATGACAGGTGGCAGTGATTTGGAGTCTGAGCTACGCTATGCGTGTGAGATTTACCAGCGAAGGTGGGGCAAAAGGGAACTCCGACGGCCAGCTTGTTTGTAATACCTTGCATGGCGTTGTGCGGCAGCTTGGGCAGCGCGTCCAGCTTCTCCCAGGAGTAGGACGGCGTGGGAATACCTTCCTCTGATTTGCAGATCAGCATGATGTCACTGCCTACATCCAGCGTCCCCTGGATTCGACACGCTGGCACCGAGGGGGGCACTGGCAGATGGAGAGAGTGGGCGGTGGTGCGTTAACCACTTTACAAAAGAAAACTAATTTTTTTCCAAATAGGGGAGAGAATTACATAATTTAAAAAATGTGCAGTCTCATTAATCAAACAGTCAAATATGATGTTTTTCTTATTAAAAGGACTCCTGACAAATTGAACAGTTTCCACTTTGCCACAGTGATGATTGTGCTGTTTATCTTTCTTTAATAAAGATCTGCAGATGGTAGAGAAGAAAATAAGACAAAACCTTCCTTTTTGGTCCTTTACTGTTATTAGCTGGCACTTGAGATGCATTTTTAAAAAAGTGAGCGCCACGGGCTCTCAGGTTATGAAGTACGCAACGCTTTCCTTTTCTCCTTTTTATTTTTGGAGTTGTGGAAAGAATAATGAAAGAAATGTGCTGGTGTACACTACCCAACACTGTGAGTCCGACGACACCAATGCTGCGCCCCCCTCTGTCTGGGAGGTTGTTGACCAGGCACTGGTAGGTCCCAGTGTCGGACACCTGGGTGTTGTTGATGAAGATGGAGGCACTTGTGCTTGGCATGGTGGCAACGAAGCCCACACGACCGATGAGGTGGTTGGAGAGGCTGAAGACCCGACCGCCCTGGTAAATTATCACCTGGATAAGGGACCAGAGAAAAATTTAAATTAAACTCAATATTTAAAATACTGTTGCACACAGTGTCAATTTTACTGTAATTTAAAAGATACAGATGAGGACTAAATTATTACCCCCATTGAAAATGTTTTTTCAAAGGTATTTTCCAAGTGCTCTTAAACAGAACAAGGAACGCAGTTTTTCCAAACATCCTATTTGTATTTTACACACTGAAACCAAAAGTATTTAATAATAACCAAAAAACTATTTGGCCCTCCTTATGCTAATGTTTGCATATCCTTTTGTCTGGATCACAACCTGCAGTTGTTTCTTGCAATTTCCACAAGTTTAACCCACGTCGCCTGAGCAATCCCTGCCCATTCTTCTTTAATGACTCATAAGCTCCTCCAGATTTGACGGTCTTCTGGCATGGACCTTGGTTGTCAGTTCATCCCAAAGATTTTCATAGGGATTCAAGTCTGGGCTTTGTGCAGACCAGTCAGTAACGTTCACTTTGGTTTCCAGGAGGTAGCTCTTCACTGGGAGTGACACATGTTTTGGGATGTTCTCATGTTTGAAAACAAAACGACGACCTAGACCTCGTTTTGCTGCTGAATGCTTGAGGTTTCCTTTCAAAAACATTCATGTATCCTACTTTCCTTATGGTTCTTTCCACCCTGAGGGGATTGCCCATTCCAGACGCACTGAAGCGTCCCCACAGCATGATACTCCCACCACCATGTTTCACTGTGGGGATGGTCTTCTTTGAGCCAGATGCCTCTCCCTTCTTTTTCCAAACACAAGCAGCATCTCTTTGGCCAAAGAGCTTCAGTTTCATTTCATCTGAAAAAGTATGCATAATCTAAAGGTTGTCCTAAGCATACTTGTTGTCTTCTTTGAGACTACATTTTCCCAACTTGGCTAAGTTATTCACATCCCGCTGCCAGGCTTGTTCTGTGTTCGGTGCTGCATGGCTCTCCTTAAATTTCTTGAGTTCTTGACACTTGAAACGCTATGATAACTTTTTCTATCCATCTCCTGCTTTGTGAGCATTCAGTCTAAACTGATTTATTTTGCTTTTGGTATGATGCTTTCTCAACTGACAGCGCCAACCCTTGCAGTTTTTATACTGTTCAAATTGAAAGATAACACTCAGTTCTAACTTCATTTTACAAACTGAGCATTTCAATATTGACTGGTAATTTTATTTTTCCTATTGTTCACAAATAGAAATAATTTATGCTAGTAAAGTTAAAAAATGCTGGATTCAAAATCCATTGCACTCCTAAACAAGCACTTGGGAAAAATTTGACAATAACAAAAACTTTAGATTTCATAGAGGGACGAATGATTTTTGTCCTCACCTGTAGATGACGTTTCCTTTAGTGTTACACATCACTCTCACTAGAGAGAGACCTATTTCTACATAGAGGCTAAAAATAGACAGTGGATAGAATGGAGCAAACTGACTTATTTCTCTGGAAGAAACAAACAAACAAACAGACAAACTAAAAAAAACCTTTTCATTTGTAAGTGGCCCTTTCTAGCTCAGTGGGTAGATTTAGGGGGAGAAGTACACACTAAAAGTATGCTTTCATGCTACTGTAAGGCTCTTCACATAAAAGCATGCACTAAATGTTATGCATAATTGAAAACATTTTAAATTAGAAACATATAAACTGCAATATGACCAATCTGACAGCAGCAATGCAGGCAGACGTCTGCACAAAGAGGTCAAACCCAGCAGGAACTTAAGGCAGAAGCTATCATTTTATCATTACATCCGTGACCTTTGAGAACAATCACAGACTCCACACTTGGTTCAGGTTGAGCTGATCTTGTCTCAGGATCGAAATTAAAAGCCAATGAAAGACCAAGTTGTTTAAAAGCTTCCCAGAAGCTTCAAATTTGGCCCGAACAGCTCGTTTGTGAGGCCGAGCCACATGCAAAACAGCTCTCACCCCTCAGCTGGGCCCACACAAAGGATGAAGGACCCACGCAAACACACAGTACATGCACACAAGTCTGGCAGTCATGACACGCGCGCACCAACTCACATGGTGGCGCGGCGCATACGCCTACACACAAAGCGTGGTGGGGAATCAGAGGGGCTATTCACTTTGCTGAAAAGAGGCCTCATTGAACTGTTCAAAGACCCAGGCGGAGAGGCAACCAGCACCAGTGTGTTCTCGCCTGAGTGTGCACGGCTCTGTGTGCGCGTGCATGCATGAGAATGATAGTTCGGATGAAAGTGCAGGAGTGCGTATGTGACCGTGTCCTCCACCGCTGCTTAACGATTGTAAATTGCGTGGCAGCCATTTCCTGAGTGCAGCACGCTCGCTTTGTCCTCTTATGTGCAGATGAATAGGCAGCTCCTCAGCTGTGATGAGAGCCTGCAACTGCATCTCTTCTGCGTGTGTGTGTCTTTCACTGTAGATACATTTTGTCACAAGGAGTGTATCAGTTGTGAGCAGAGTGTGCAAGTGTGTGTGTGGAGCATGGAAGTGTTTGTGACTCTTATGTCACAATAAGTGTTCCTCCGTTTAATAACTGCCCATTCTTTTCTTTCCTTCTATGTGTTTTTTTTGTAATGGGTTCATTTGTGCATACCTCTCTGTTTCCTTTCTCTAACACATGATCTGACCTGGCTCTATATTCCTGATGACCCAACAATATAATCTGCATGCTCGGGGAAAGCGATCCAATCAATCGGCCTCGCACACGCCGTTTTGACTGGGCTCGTTTTGAGTGTGTGCATGAATGAGTGGAGGATTAAAGCAGGTCCTAACCTGTGCTGCAGATCAAGCCCATTTTGGCAACGCTAACTCCTTCTACTCTGCAGGTATTAATTTTAGGAACAGAAACAAATGCCCGATGGATTAAGGAGAAATAAATCAAGCCAATGTATGTTTAAAAATATGTTAAAAAATCACAAGCATGAGAACAGTGGTGCATTTATGGTGCATGCCAAAAGCCCTCCTTTTTGTAGACTTGTTTTTATTTTGCCTCTGTCCGCTATGTCGATCCATCCGTATCTATGTGTATGTATAAATCACCTCATTCCCTCGCGTGACCTGGTTGGCTTTGTGGCTATGAACAGATAGAAAAGAGGTCATGGCTGGCACTCAGATGGCAGACGGCCCTAAGAACTCTAGCTGGACTAGCTGGATACCCAACTGGCCCAGTGGTAAACCTCTGTTTCATCCTTTGACTCCTAAAATCCTACATAGATACAGTACAAGCATCTGCACAAATTGTGCTACATCCCCAGTCGTTCTCCTGCTGCGCGATATACCCTGTAAGTGTGAGTAGCAAACGAATGCTCATAGTGAACTTTCAGATACTGCTGTACCAGTTTCGTACTCCTATTCCAATTCTAACTGACCGTGCAAGGACCCCCTGGCCCCTGACATGCCAGATACTGTCATCGCTTCAATAAAGCCTGAATAAATCTCTAAACCCTCACAGCTCCCTTCAATCTTATGACTATAAGCTGCAACTGTTATCTCTTTCTATCCTTTGAGACATGTTCTGAACAATATGGGACCAAACCCCATTTTACTAATATACTTCTGGATTTACCTCATTTACCCTTTTGACTCTAGTACATATATATATATATATATATATTTGACTCTTTTGCCAGCACATTTTCACACATTGCCAAATGTTTAAAATGCTTGGTCAGTTGGTGTGGCACAACAACTGACCAAGAGAATGAAGTGATGGGAGGTGTGAGAGGGGTCCTATAAGAACCCTCTCACTTGTAACTGATCTAATGCACAACTCTGTTTGAACTAAACCTGTAATCTCACTGGCCTGTCTGATAATCTGAGCTGTGTCTTGTGTGTAACAGTGGGGCTTGTACTTCGATGAAATACTGAAGGTCAAACTAGATTCACTGAGACTTCAAACTTCAGACAGCACTGGAGAAACTGTGCCTGGAGTCACTCACACGAAGTACGACTCCCATAAAATTGAGTTGCTTATAAAGTGCCCATGTCGTTGGCCTAAGCCTGGAACGGTATTAAAAACTCACCATAATCACGATAACCACATTCCACTGTAAACTAAAAAAAACTCCCAGTATTAATAAAAAGGATTTTTCCCATTAAACCATCCTTTGGAAATACACTTGTAAAACACAAAAATTATATAATATAACATAATAAAAAGCAGAAAATAAAAAACTAATTAAGTTGACTCTGCATACTCATGTCCCTTGAGGTAGACAAGTGGAAAAGTAATCAAATATATAAATAAATAAAGTAAAATACCTGTCTGCTGATAAATACAAAGTACAGTATAGTACAAATATACTATGGAAGCACATGTAAATGTTCGGTGTGGTTTTGCTATATAAGTACAATGTATGCTAAGACGTTACGTTTAATGGAATCTGCTCAAATTAAATTGACTTTACAGGCACACAGGCTATATTCTCGTTTAAAGATCAGCATCATTTCTGCATCACATATTCTTTATGATCTCAATTTCACAGAATATTCATTTCAGTGATGCGGCACATATTTTACTATATCAACATTATATATATATTTTAAGCTTCTTTTTCCAGGAACTAAGAAAAAGAGGGACTTAATCAGGGAGATGACCAAGGTACACAAATATTGAAAATGAGAAACGTTTTCATTAGTGCTGAGAAAATACACCTTTCTCTAAAACTTTTGATCATCAACTGCAACAACAAAGAAAACAATATGCAATTTTACAAGATGTCCCGCCACAATAAAAGCATTTTTACAAAAGTTGGAGCATATTTAAGCATAAGGACCACCGATATCCAGCAAACACCTTTATGAGGATGAACAACAGGTAAGTGTTGAGTTTGATTGTGTGTGTGTGTGTGTGTGTGTGTGTGTGTGTGTGTGTGTGTGTGTGTGTGTGTGAGGCCAAAACTTCTGATCTCCACAACAATTTGTCAGACAGATTACATCCACAGAAAACAGCACATGAATATGCAAACATGCAGGTACACTTCTCTGAGCTATGCACCAACATGTTAGAATCTGGAGTTTAGCTTGTCTGGTCATGAGAATAAAAATGACTACAACTGGAATTAGGTAAAAGTTTACATAGTTAGAGATTCAAGCTTGAATTCTCTGAGCACTAATAAAGAGTACACTTAACTTCACAGCGCTTTACTTGTTCAACATTTTGTCATGTTAGAGCTTTATTCCAAAATGGAGTAAATTTCCAAAGATGAGCCCTGCCCCAGTACGAGAACCAGGTTATCAACAAGGATGTCTCTGTACATTGCTACACTCACATTTCCCTCAACCCTGACTAGTCTCCCAGTTCCTGCTGCTGAAAAAACACCCCGCAGCATTATGCTGCCACCACCTGACAAGATGATGAGTGGTGCTTGATTTCCTTCAAACTTGACACTTGGTATTCATGCCAAAGAGTTTAACCTTTTTTCATCAGACCAGATAATTTTGTTTCTCATGGTCTAAGAGTGCGTCAGTTAACTTTTGGGAAGCTACGGGCCTGCTGTCATGTGCCTTTTACTGAGGAGTTGCTTCAGTCTAGTCATTCTGGACCCTACCATGCAGGCCTGGTTGGTTGAGTGCTACAGAAATGGTTCTCCTCTGTCCACATAACAATGCTGGATCTCTTTCAGAGTGACCATAGAGTTTTTGGTCATCTCCCTGATTAAGTCCCTTCCATCCCGATTGGTCAGATTGGCGGGCACCTCTAGGAAGAGTCCTGGTGGTTCCAAACTTCACTTTGGATGCACTGTAAGTGCTTGTTCAGTGAAGCTCTCACATTATTGCTCCTTTACATCAGCGATCCCCAACTTTTTTTGCGCCACGGACCGGTTTATGCCCGACAATATTTTCATGGACCGGCCTTTAAGGTGTCGCGGATAAATACAACAAAATAAAACTAGTACCGGTACCGGAAAAAAGAAAATTTATTCATAACACACGTGAAAAGACCAAGGAAAACCGAGTAAACGATAAAAACGATAACAAAATAACGCTGAAAACCGATAAAAACCCTGAAAACTATACATTTCACACCTGAGCCTCAACTCTCGCGGCCCGGTACCAAACGACTCACAGACCGGTACCGGTCCGAGGCCCAGGGGTTGGGGACCGCTGCTTTACATCACAATTTTGTTGCTATAGGAGAGATGCAACACGGACGATACTGGCTTCTTGTCATATTATAGTAGGTTCAGGTACACAATTACTGATGGAGGTTTTCCTCAGTATAACTGAAGTCATGGAGACTTTGCACGGTGTAGTCTATGTCATATAAAGTGTAAAAGAAAGCATCAGGGTGGAAGTTTCCATTAAGGTGTCCTACAAATTTCTGAGTGGGCATCATCCCAAGATACCAGCCAGATGTCCTCAGCTAGCTTTCTCTATCATAGTGAAAGAGTGTGTGTTGTACTGCAGACTCCTCCATGAACATATTATTAGTTGTCTGTTTTAGAAATCACAGTTTTTCACAGTTTTATCACAATGTGTGAAGCATTTGAGCAAGTTTTCAAGTCTAATTTATCATGCTTTGGAATCTGAAATCTCTGTGAACTTCAATATGTAGCACCTCATGTGTCTGTTAAATATGAAACTACAACCACCAGCTGGCTATCTTAGCTAAGCTTAGCTGTTTCTTTAATTATACAGTGGTGAGAACCCAAGCAAAGTAGATGCTTTGGTAACCCCTGTTGCTATCTTGGAGGTGATGCTATAACCTTCAGGGTAGCCTTAGAGTCTAGGAGTGTAATTGGCTGACATGGCCACTAGATAATGCTCATGCATATGCTAGCACTGTTAAATACTTCAAAGCACATACAAACCACATGCACTCAATTGTTGTTTTGTTTTGGTGTAGGTTAAATACGTTACCTTTATTACTTTTATGCATGTAATTATATTGGTTTATGTTTGTGATAGATGTCTTTCATCAAAAAATACATGCCGTGAAAGGTAATTGAACCCATTTTTAAATGGCAAAGCCTGGTACTATCAATGGGCATTCGTTTTTACCATAAAATAGAACAAATATCTTTTGGAGGTCTCTATGTGTGAACTATTTCATGTTATATAAAATGGTCATTCATATGCCAAAGAAAAGAACAGAAGAAGACTGAAGGGAGGGATTTTTTCTGCTGAATCTACAGCTACTATATTACCTTATGCTGAGCAGCAAGAAGCAAGGTGCAAATACAACACTAATGTCAAGACCTTTAAATGTAATAATGTGTAGGAGTTAACAGTTCTGGAGCAACATTAACATTCATTTGAGGTCAGTTTCCCCTTCAGCTCTGTTTTGTTACCTTAACTCCTGGGGGAAATATGTGGCTCTTTAGACTCTAGCTAATTGCTTACCTTCTCTGTTTGTTCTCCAGGTAGTATATATATATATATATATATATATATATATATATGTGTGTGTGTGTGTGTGTGTGTGTGTGTGTGTGTGTGTGTGTGTGTGTGTGTGTGTGTGTGTGTGTAGCTTTTTTTTCTGTTGGTTTAAGAAAAAAAGAAAAAAATCACAGGAAAATGCTGAAAGTGAATCAGAAATGACTGGAAATTATAACAATAAGTAAAAGATCCTAAAAAGCACAGGGCTGAGGATGAACTTGAGATAGAGTTTTTTGGGTGGTTGTCAACTCTTTACTTGTTTAATAATACAGGCAGACATTTTATCCATTTTTAAAACATACACCAAAATATATTCTAATGGAGTGATTTGGGGTTTATTGTGACTTTTAACTCAAAATACAAATTACTTTGTCTCCAGAGTAATTCCTTCATACATCAGGATCCCAGCAGACAACAAATGCACCAGCCTGTCACACTGCCTGCTCTCATAAACAAAATATATAGAGCTCATAGTTAAGTTCCCACAGCCTATAATGTGGGGTCGACCGTGTAAGCTAAAGGCTATGAAGTAGATAGTGATGCCTTAGACAAAAATGCAATAAAGGTAGCGGGGAAAACAAATAGCTACATTTGCACTTTTTAGTGAGGCCGACAAAGTTTTGCCGTCGCCTTCTAACAGTTCATGATTCGGTACGGACCAACACGAACATGGCATTTTGAGGAGAGAGAGATCTGAGTGGTCATAGTGTGTGCTCACTAAAGTGCTAATGCAGGTTGCGCAAGTGTATGGAGTTCTGTTCAGTCATTCTTAATGGCTTTCAGCATCAACTGTAATCATTTATGACAAACACACTCTTCCTCTCTCTAAAATGACCTTGTGCGTGTTCTGTCGCACCACGCAGCACTTTATTTCATCACACACTTTTTAGACAGCTCCCCAATTTCAGCCATACAAGCGACAGGTGTACACATGACATAACCATGCCATGATGTGTGAATTTCTGGATGTATGTACTCACGTCAGTATTCGCACTTAGACTGTGCACTTTGTCTACAGACTTCACACATGAATGCATACTGTATATAAGCCCCGCATGTAGGCACGTGGATCCGCACTACATTTGGACCAGCAGTCTGTTCAATTCCAGTTTGTGTGCGTGCATTTGTGCATATTTGTGTGTCTGTGTGTGTGGAGAACAGCTGCGATATAGAGCCTGTCGTGGGCGTGAGTTAATTAGTGCAGAAGATGATTGTGTTATTTGGACGGCCGACCAGCACTGGGGTTCAAAGTGAAGGGAGGCAGGTGAGCTTGTATGGCCTGCAGCTGCATGTTAAACAATTCAAATGGAATCACAGAAGTCCCGCACGAGGGGATGAAGAGTGAGCGAGAGAGGGACGGAGGGAAGGTGAGAGAGTAGACTGCTATAAACGAGGCCAGATAAACAAAATGAGCATCAGCAGTCGGCGAGTAACTTAAATTTGCCATGTCTTTGCGTGTTTCCACATCAAATCAGCGCTGCGAAAGCAGTTTGAAGCTTTGGCTGTGCATATGTTGTTTAAGAGGCGTCCTGCAGCACACAGATTGTAAACTATTAATACACCCTTAAGCTTACTACTACATTACTTCTATTTTAAAGTATGGTGATCTCTATTAATTACAAAACTGATGTAGTAAAGGTGTGTTCAGATGCACTGAAAAGGGAATTATTTTTTCTGTCTGCTTTTGTTTAAGCAGTGCAACTATATTTTTGGCATATGCAAATTTAGCATGGGCTAGATAGATAGTTTTTTTGCAAAAGCCTTGATCCACCCCTAATTTCTTTTTACCTTGCCAGGAAAATTCAGAAATAGGTGCACCAATCATATTTATTTTTCAGCACAGCCTGAAATCTCTTAGACAAGCTTTCTTGTAATTTAAGTAGTCTTCAGGAATATTTCTCAGGCTTCTTGAAGGTCATTCAAAGCTGTTCTTTGGATGTTGGCTGTTGTTGTTGCGCTTTAAAGATGATTGTAGACTGCTTCCATAATGTTGAGGTCTGGGAACTGGGAAGGCCAATTCATGACTGGCTGTGTTTCTTTGTGTGTTTTTACTGTCTTTGCAGTGTGTTTGTGATCATTGCCATGCTGAAAAATGACGCTGTTGCTTTCCAGATGGTATTGAAAGGTGGATCAAAATCTTACTGTGCTTTTCTGCATTTATAACTTTGACAGACGTCAAGTTTGATGCTGAAATCCAACCTCAAAAGACCTTCAGAAAGTATAAAGAATTATTCCTCAAGAGCACAATAACAATTAGTTATATAGTCTGGGTCTGTGGGGGCAAAATATAAACAAAAGAGTCGTGCCATAAGATGTAAGAGCTACATGACACTTCCCTTTTGCTTGTTTCATTCTCTACACATGTGATGCATTTTTGCAGCCACTCATATTCTCTTTGCGCTGTATCTGAGCACACCTTCAAACAGAGCAAACTCTCGTGTACCTGCATTGACTGTAAGGAACCCATCCACAAGATGCGCATACAGTAGTGTTGCATTAGAAAATAAGATTTCAGAAGCAGACATTTCAGTTGATGTGCAGAGTGCATGGCAACACTGACTGTGTACCAATTCAGCATCCAAACATCTACAGTTAATTACAACAATCACAGCAAAACTCTCAGATTAGTAAATAAGGCTCTGACATGCTTAATTGCACTGCACAAGTCTGTCTTCTAAATATGAAGACTATGCTTTTTAACACACCTGTGACTCTAATCTCAGCTGTAAAAGCTGTAAAAGATGACTCAGGTCAGTGGGTGGATGCAAGTGGTTCATACCTGCTCTGGCTGGTAAGCATTGGACAGCGGTGTCACCATCCAGATGATGTTGAGGTTGGTGAGGGCAGCGCTGGTGGTAAAGGAGCAGGGCAGGATGGCTGCTTGGCCACGAGCCACCTGGACACTGCGCTGGGACATTGTCACATCTAGTGCCTGCACACAGACTGCAGGAGAAAAAAAGAGTCAGTGATCAGCGTCTTGATTCTCAAAAGAAAAGCACATGCAGTACCAAACGAAACAGAGAGAAAGAGAGGGAGAGCGAGCGAGAGAGATGAGCAGATGTCTAAATTCAGAAATTCTCCCCGAAACTCCCAACAGATGTATCTTTGCACTTTGTAAGAAAAGCAGCATCTTCAAAAGGTTTCCTGAAGGCTATTAGATCCCCTAAATCCCTAAAAATGAGAACGCTTGCTTTAGTGTGTGAGTAACAGAAACGCGCACACACACACACAGAGACAGACGATACGAGAAATCCAAAGCTAAAACGCTGCCATGTACAATATCTTTAATATGTGACATTTTTTTTACAGCTTTTTCATCTTTACAGCAAAACAAACATGATTTGCTGAGAGCCAAACTCCTCGTCTGAGATGCTTTTGACAACTAACAAACAAGGCTGCACTGAGAGGGATCACATGAAATACGTAATGTGCAATTAAATGGGGGAAAAAATGATAAGATGTCACGAGATGTTAATTTTATTCCTCTCCTAAAACAGCAACGTCTGAATCTGTGCATACTGAATGATGAGAGTAATGTTAGATTTGTTGCTTCCTCTCAAAGTAAACAACTAAGGAGCCACTTTCCTCATCTGGACTCAGCTGCCATCCACAACAGACCCACAAAGACAGATATGTACATGCTGCATCCTATTTCGAGACCGGCTAAAGACATTAAAGCCTAAATTAAGTTAGATCTCCCCCGCAAGCATGTATCCATGTCCAAAAAACCCCATTGGGAAGTAATCTTATCTAAACAGGAGGATGATGCGCTGATATGATTACAGATAATTGATCATGTCATGTGAATCGCCCTTGTCAGTGGTAATGTAAAATGAGGATCTTAGCATTAATCAATAGTAGGAACCACCAGGATGTCAATTATGGTTTGTAGTCAAGAGTCAAGCTAGATCCCAAGTGCAAGCAATGACCACACTGCGCAATAGAATATATATGAGTAATTATTAACATTATGATAAGGAAACGAATATAAGAATTTTTTCCCATCTACTGACTCGCTTCTGCCTACTTTTGAATATCAGTGTAATATTTTCGAGCTGACAGACTGCCTGTTGCTCTCTGCCTGTCTGTCCAAAACCTGCTGGACTTCCTACGCTTTCTTTCTGCTGGCAGACACAACAGGCCCTGCAGGCTCAGAGCTGGGCCAGGGGAGATATGCAGCACTCAAACTGCTTCACTCAGTTCTGCTTTGTCAAAGATATATACTCATAAAAAAAGAGAGTCACCCCCCACCCCTACAAAAACAGCACAGAGGAAGAAGTTCATGCGAAGAGCTGCGGCCTTAACAAGAATGCGCGATTGCATTGGCAACATGAGATCAAGTGCAAGTGTGTTTTCTCAGTGGCCACATAGGTATTAAATGTGCTTGATTTAAGGGAAGCAGAAAGGCAGAGAAAGACTAAAGTACAGAAAGAAAGAAAGAATTAAAGATCCTAGAGGAATGAAGATAGAAGGAGCATCTTATCATCTGTAAGCCCCCTCCAAGGCAGCAGTCTCTCAAGCCCACAACAGCTGGAGGGCTCATTTCAAAACACTGGATTAGGGAACCTCTGCGCACAGAGCCTGTAAGCTCCCACGACCAAAGCAAACTCACACACACACACACACACCAAACATCACAAACAAGCACCAACACGCAGTGCCAGCGAAACCAGTGCAGTACATATGCCGTGCACTGTGCCCTCTCAACTCACAGGCACATGCGTGACATACTGCTCACTACAATCCACACACTCAGACTTTAATCAATGTATGTCATTGGTGACATGTATGTTAGCCCTTTGGGGACACATCTAAAGGACAGGGACGAGAAGTATGGTATTGCTTGGCATTGCCTCATTATTGCGCACACTTCTGCCAAAGCTTTATGCCAGCTTCACTCAAGCATGTCTGGTAGACCGTCGCTCTTCCAGAATCCATCCTGTAATGGGTTCAATATGTAAGGGATGAACAGTAAGCCAGACACAGTCAAACATGACCACCCGCATTTAAAAAAAAATAAACTAAATAAAAAATCAGTATAGTATTGTATTATAGCTCCAAAGGAGCCACTATGGCTGAGGTAAACCATGTTTTCTAATCGCTAGCAGAAAACAATAAAGTACAAACTGATTTCAGGAAATAATCAAAGACAGGTCAGGGCTTGATACAGTAGTCCTGACATTATTTTTGCTGTAGTCTAAGATATTTTGCATTTATGACCAGCACTGAGTGAAGCAAAGAGTCATCCATTCTATTTTTTTAACCCTTTAGGCCAAATTTATCACATTTGATACATGAGTTTTGGAGACTTCTACATCATCAGTGGGATTCTTTACAATATATACTTAATTTTCAAAAAAATTAAAAAAAAAATTCTGGCTTGAAAGGGTTCATTTCTGCAGGCTAATGTGCACAGTTGTGACGTAAACATGCTATCACTCTCTCTAGGTTTTACCGCGTAAGCTTTATCATTTTCCTGTTGACAAACATCCCGTTCCCTCCTGCTGTCAATTCCAGCCCAGAGGCGCCCCGAGGCCGAGGCCAGCCTGACTGGTACGAAGCTGCACAGAGTAACTATGCTAATCTCTGAGGCTGACCCCTGGCTGCCCACAGTTATGTTTAACTGTAACAGAGCAGCGCCGCATTGTCTCCTATAGTATTACTCACCTGTGGCAGTGTTCTATTGTTGTGGGATCGTACACATTTTACATTTTCAGAGAAAAATAGCTTTTATTTAATCAAAACAGAATATGTTTGTGCTATGTTATTTCCATTAAAGGAACTACAAGTTGCTGACTAGATAAGATTTGGGTTGGGAATGCGGAAGGAATTTTTAAAAAAGAGTGTACAGTAAAGAAAAATGTTGGCGCGCATGAAGTATGAGTAGTAACAGATGAGTAGGTGGAGGAGAAGAACACGAGAACAATGCGAGGAGGGGCAGGTAGGAGAAAAAGAAAACAACAAATCATAAAAAAGAAAGTGAAACAGAGGAGGACATGAGGGAGCAGAGAGGATGCCGGTGTTTCCAGAAAGGCCTAATTGATAAAGTCACCTGAGGCAGTGCTAGCAGTCAAGGAGAGAACCAACAGTATGGCTCTGTTAAGTGTCAAAACCGCTGTTGATTAATGCATGAGAAAAGCATGCACCTCGGAGAAGAAAAAGCTTTGTGTCTGATTCTGTGTGTGTGTGTGTGCTTACTCTATCAGTCAAGCTAAAGTGGAGGCATGATTGGATGGAGAACAAATGCAGGCTGGATGCAACACTTCCTCTCTCTCACTCTTGCACTCGCAGTCGCTCACACACAAACACACACACACAGAATCCCTGCCTGGCAAGTCATTTGCATTCTGTGATTTTATTCATGTGGCTCTTTTATTCATAGGCTCTACTTTTATTCCAGTTTCAAACAGATGCCCGCGATGCAGTGATGAGCCCCTGGGAAAGCCTCAATGCACAGAGACAGCCACACACCTATACATGCATAAACCTGGTTAAGTGAAGTAATTGATGATAGCAAAGGCATTACTAAAGAGAGAGAAGAGCGCACACATTAACTCGTGTGCGAAGACACAACTTTATTTTAAATCTGTTCAAAGACAATTAAGAGGCGAGAGCATCACATATCTACTACTTCAGGGATGACAGTTGGTAACTAGGATCACACTTAGTTCTGTGTCCTGCACATGCACAATAGAGGTGAGTCTCCAGCAAGCGCTTGGGAAAAAATTAACATCAAAAACCATAAAATTAATCACACAGTTACAAATACATCTGCACATGGATTCATGTATTCCGACACCTGTGCCCACACACAAACAGAGCTGCGTGTCCTGTTGTTTTGCAGAACACCCAGGGGCTTCATGATGAGCTGTGTACATGCGAGTAGCGGACCCCGCGTTGTTGCCACTGCCTGCACCAGGGCGAACCGACAGGCGGGCAAAGACAGGTTATTTTGCGAAACTCAGGTGGCGTAATTGTGTACCCAGCTGCTCGATGGCAACCCATCAAGCGCTGTGCTCACAGCACTGCTGAGGTAAAAATTAATGAACGCCATTCTAAAGACACTTTCATTAAATGATGTCTGAAAGTCTAGTCAATTCTTTGTTTGTCGAATTTAATAAACTATAACATTTAATTTTAGGAAATTCGACTTTTAGTTGTTTCACCCTCGTATCTCTGCTAAGTCAGAAGGTTGGAAGCAGGTGCTCTGTTTCTTTGTAGAGGTAAATAAATCACCAATGTTTGTTTTTACAAAAAGAATATTATCATATATGCTGGACGATACTGCAAACTCTGGTATTGATCCAATACCAAGTGAATACAGGGCCATTATTGTCAAACATACAAAGGCAGGTTATGTAGGGGAGAGCAGTGTGCTATGATCTATGAGATGAATCACCATCAAATTATTTTAATAACCACTAAACCACTGTGATTTTTACTTTCCATAATAGTTATTCACAGAATCAAATATACCTTTTAGCTTTTCATGTATTTTGAAACTGGGTTTTTCGGAGACGTGGAATGGAAATGTGCCTGTCTCTAAACAGCTTCTGTTGTTTAAATGTGCTGTAGGCTATAAATAAAATAGACGTGGCAGTCAACACACAACTGTTCAGGCATTTTTCATAGTTTGTGTCTAAGGAATATATTTTTCATTTTCAATAAAATAACTTTTTTGCCACAATTCAGTGGGCTTAATATATTATCTGATTATAGCCTCTAGGTAAAATAACAGCTACAGATGACCACTAACACTATCTTTATAGTTCGTGCTTAACATGTATTTAATGTTAAAGTGTGACTGCATAATAAGAGCGATGTACTGTACATGTACTGAACTTAGAAGATAGAAACATACTAAAGTATTGATCTCATCACAGATCGATCTGATACCAATACCAATATTGGTATCAATACTATCTATAGTTGGATCGATTTGA